CAAATAAGGGACCAAATAAGGGATTTGCATTAGGTCTTCCTATTGACTATTTTTCGAACCAGGCAACATCTTCGTCGGCTCAAGTTTTTGACTGAATTAATAAATTCGCCGGCATGAATACATTCTAATCCCAACATAAAAGTATAGCCGGCTTAAGTTTTTCAAAATAATAGTACAGCCCTTTTTATTTTATTTAAATTAATAGTTTAGCCGCGCGGCTATACTTTGTTTTTTTTATTATATTTATTCGCATTAATAGTATTAATAGGGTTATTATTCATATAAAGAACTTAGTATTTTCAATTTAATTACTCGTATTATACATATACGTACAGATTTTCTAGTTATTTTCAACCATATTGTTTGGAGCATTATTTCCTCTATTTTTTTTTTTTTTTTTTTTTTTTTTTTTTTTTACTGATGGACATTTAAGAGCACCTATATTAACGTTAGGGACCATGAGTGATACAAAAAAAACTTTAAGGATGCAATATGATAAACATCAGGGATGGCCTATCATAAACATCAGGGACGTTTTGTGATAAAAAGCCTTATTATTATGATTATTAAAGTATATGACTGAGTGATATTTGACTATTTAAATGTAGCTGAGAACTGATTTTTTGGAAAGTTGATAAAAGATTTGGAAAATGGATTTGTGGAATAAAGTTTATGATAAGTTTCAAAATTTTTTTTCAAAAGACCTGGGCAAAACGACGTTGTTTTGGTCCAGGTCTTTAAAAATAAAAAAAAATAAAAAGATTTTAACAAATCCCTCCCGACTTCAGAACTCCAAAACCCCCATTCCTAAACCCTCAAACCTAAATCCCCAATCTCCACACACCCCCACCCCCCCAAAAAAAACCTTTAAGCCCTAGCTCCTCCATTGCCGACTTCAAAACCTCGAAAAAAAAATTGAACTTTTACACTATGACCCTATGAGATAAGATTCCTGGGTCCGTTCCTGACGTCACACCCTTCATTTCCTATCGCAGTGGACCCCGGGCGAGGTTAAGGGAGCATGTTATATGCTTTGGGCTTAGCAAAAGGTTGCAGCCTAGACTGAGACTGAGAGTGTCCTTTCCATTTACAGACTTGCATGTTACGTACTTTGATTTCAAGCAACCGGTAGGGCAAGGTTAGGTGGTGGCGGTCTAGCTGGTGCACCCACGGGAAATGTAACTGTTGATTATGAAATTTACAAACAGCAAAAGATATTTAGAATTTAAAAACCAAAAGGTTGTAATTAAATCACACATATATTTGGCACATTAATTTGCAAATTGCAAGAAAAAAAAACATAAATTTGCATGTTGGAAAGACTAAAATACCCTTCAAAATGGATGATGTTAAAGTCCAGTAACAAATCATGAATTTTGAAAATTGAAGTGACATTTTGCTTAAATTTTTCTTTAAGGTGACAAATTAAAACTGATGTATAAATTCAAGTGACATTTTTACAAATATCCTAGAATAATATTATAATAAAAAATCACGATAATGACAAGTTTTGTTTATTTGTGTGCTTCCAAAGCCAAATAAAAAGGTATTAAAAAGAAAAAAAAAACCAAATAGTAAAAACACAATCAAGTCACAAACTTAAGAACAAATTGTGATTGTCGTGTATCATTAGCTTGTGGGATTAATCATTTTATTTTGCCCCATATGTTAAATTAGTTTCACTTCTTCGTGGGTCCAAAAGGGGTGCTTTTGGTGACTGAAAGTTCCTCCAAAAAAAAACTAAATTTTTTGATCATCAATGGAAACCTCATATCTCACAATGAAATCTCAAGGGTTTAATTGTTATTTCCAATTGATTCAATCAAGAGCTTTAATATGAATCTATGATTCAAATAGCCCATAAACAAATTATGATGGGCCGATGAGTTGGATTCGAGACTGATGGTTGCGAGTGGCTGGTGATGACAGTATATTGTGGTAGTTACTGCACTATAGAAGCTGTGTCGCTGCAGCTATCTAGCTATGGAGATTCAAATACTAAAATAAAAATAAAAATAAATAAATGATTTAAAAAAAAAAGAAGATAAAATAGAAAATTAAGCAAGTTAAAAATAGATGATGTGGCAAGTGAGTCAGTGACATAAATTGCCATGTCATATGTCACTTCAGTTGGTATAATAGTCGGTGTCCTTAACATTATTGTTTAGCTAAATAGTGTGGACAGGTAAAAAAAAATTACCCAGCAAATATAGGTACCTGAAAAAAGTAGTTTACCTACAAAGATAGGTAAATTATTCTACATGCCTGGAAAAATAATTTAAGAAAAAATAAATAACCTGAAAAATATAGACCTAAAAAGTAGTTTACTTGAAAATAATTTGTAGGCACGTTTTTACATGCCATAAAAGTCACACATACCACCCCAACGTATATTTATATTTATATTTTTCTTCTCTTCTTTTTTTGTGTGGAGAAATTAAAGCATGTCATTGATAGAAATAATAGCTTATAGAAAATTTCAAAACTTTTCATGTGTCCAACCTGTAGATAATGATGTTGGCTTTTCACGTCCAACGTTTGACCCAAAAAAACATGTTGTTGGCTTTCAATTTAGGGTGACGTCTCGTTCATTGGTTTCATTACAATAATGACGACGAGTTTAGAGACTTGAGACCATGTTTAAAATTACAGGAATTTCACTGCAGACTTGCAAATGGCTCCGTCCCTGCTGCCACTCACTGTTTCATAGCTTGAGCTGGGTAATTCACTCAGCTTCCCAAATTTGCTTTCGTAGAAATCCAATAGCTCCAACCTAAAAAACAACCGATTGAGTGCAAGTTGAAACTTGTTCACTAGTAATCTATGGAAGGTATTTACAAATAAATTACATATACGTACGAAATGTTTAAAGTTTTATTGATAGACGAAGGTTTAAGTTGTTAGATTGTAAATCTGATCACCAATCTAAGTTGAATCAGATTCACATTCTGACAACATAAAAATTAATCTTATGTTATGTTAGTGAGACGGTCTACAAGTGCATATATATATCTAAAAGCATATGCATACCAGTATGCCAAGCACTGGTATGGTGCATATTTGTCATAAATTTCTGCCACATATTTTCTGGCGGTCTTTTTGTCGCAATTCTTCCTCCCATGAACCTGAAAAGAAAAAAAAGATTTTACCAAGTTTAAAAGAATAATTGTGTTAGAAATTAATAAATAAATAAATTAAAGAGTAAAGAGTATGTTTTTTTTGAACTGGCCTCTTGTAAGTGTCTTATAGTTTCGGTATCGAGTGGAACGTGCTGATAATATCCAATGCACATCAATGCATTGGCACATGCATATGAACCAAACCCTTTGATCTTCTCGAGTCTCCGAAACACTTGATCCTGGTTAAACGACATGTCGTCGAGGGTTTTCTCAAACTCATGAAGTCGTATCGTCCCTCGCTCCACATCTCTAGCAAGTTTTAGAATGAGTTTTGCTCTGTACCCAAGAACTTTATGCTCGTTGTTTAAAGTATTCTCATCAAGGCCAGCGAGTTCTTTTGAAGTTGGGAAATTGCCTAAAATCCCACCTTCCATTTGATTTATAACTTTGCATGGCCATGTATTTGACTTCTCTCTCTTCCTCTTTTGTCCGGACCTAGCTGAAGCTTCATTATTACTTAGCTCAAACTGAAGCTCACAGAGAGCTCGAGCCATTTTCAATGTATTCGACCACCTGTGTCAAGTGTCAAAATCTCATTTGTTATACTTACGTGCATGCATGTGTACGAATAAGAAACGAGTGTAATATTATACTTACGTGCAATTACAGAGAAGAAGACACTTGACAAGGTCTTCAAAGAGAGTAGGCGACCGGAAAACTCGACCGAAGCCTTTCTCTTTCGCTTGTGGATGCACTTTCTGATATTCCCTCATGTCCATTTCATCTCTCTCAGATATCCTTAGCATTCGAGCCACTTGGTTCTAATAAATACAACAACAACAGAAAATATATAAGTACATACATGCTTACTTAAGGATCCAAATCCAATTATACATAAGATAAAAATATACCAGTATAGCACGTTGATCTGTATACGAGATGTTTTGAATGTCGTGAACTCTAACAAGGAGAGAGGTCCGATTAGGCGGATGTAAGATCGAAACGGTGACACAGGTAGTTGAGTCTGCAAGTCTCAGTGGACGTTGGAGTGTTTTTGAAGATGGAATCCAACGGTTGGGAGCCATCATGAAGAAGCCATGGTTGCACACTGCTTTCTCCAGGTTAAAACTTGAGTTGCTTCCCAATGGCAAAAACATTGAGAACCCTACCATCTCTTTTTTCTATTATTATTTTATTCTACCTCACTTCAATATATTATATATGTAATCTCTTGACTTTATTTTTTTCTCTTGTATATTAAAGAAATTGTACAAGAAGAGAGAGCTAAATACTTCAACATATCTTAGAAAATTAAGAAAACTTATCTTGAACACTTAAGATCATAACAAGGAAGGTGGCCGGTTTCATTTTCCCATGCACCCGGAAAATAATTTTTCATACTTGGGCTTACCAAACTTGAGAAATCATTTAATTTCCCATTTCCCACGAAACCAAACACCCCTTAGTATTAATATTGTCGGGAATTCCTATGTTAACTTTTATTCTCTTGGTTTTCTTTCTTCGACTAATAATAAAGGTGCAGTTAATTAATGATATGAGTTTCGAGGGAGAAAGGATTAGGCTGATATTTCTCTCGGGAAATCCGATCTTGTATCAATTTGATGTGACGATTCGTTTGGCTTTTGGGTAAATCATAAAAAAATGAGACAAAAGTAAATGGCTGATTGCCTCGTTAGATGAACACATCACATTGGCGCCTTTTCCTTTTCATTTTTGCATTTCCCCCTTTTTTTAAACTTTTGCAACTCCCACCCTCTACTCCTCCAAGTGATGATATATAAATAAGTGTTGGTTTTATGCAGAAATTATATACAGAGCTTAAGTAAAGTAAGCAAGAAAAGCACCAACTTGCAAGTATCCATGGCTGCTCTTGCACTTGCTCCCATTGACCCCGACACTCCATCTTTTGATGGATATGAATCTGGTGGTTCATATGGTCATTGTCGTCAACTTCAACTGGAGGATACAATCATACCAGATACATGTGATGAAGATAATCAGTTCGATCCTTCGTTTGAAACAGATGCCGAACCTAAATTCAAATCCAGTGCCAACTCCAATGACAATTCTGCTCAAGAGGTGATCAAGTCCGACCCCAAGAAGAACAAAACTAAAAATGTTGCTTCAAACACCGAGAAGAAGTCACCATCATCTGCTGATGCTGCTGTTGCAAAAGAAAAACGTCCCCGAGAAGGATTAACGTGCAATGCTAGCGTGGCCAAGAAGATGAAGAAAAAGAATGTGAAAAAGGAGCCAATACCAGAAATTGATGAGGATGCTCATGTTGCTGAAGATGACCAAGTTGTTGAGAAGAAAAAAAAGCAGCATATCAAGAAGAAGAAGAAGAATTCGGTGTCCAGAGAAGAGATGAAAACAAGCAATGACTGTGCGGATCATGAGAAAGTGGAGGAGAAGAAAGAGAAGGGTGGGTTTGCTGATGTTATGAAAGCGTGTGAGAGGTACTTAGGAAGTCATGTAGTGGATTGGAGGTGGATAAACGCTGAAAGAATGGTCAAGCTTGAGAAGATGTGGGTGAAACTTAGAGGTGCAGAATCTGTATTTCGGTCGTTGCAAGCCGACTTTGATGCAGAGCTGCATCGTGTGGCAGTAGATGCCTATATCTCATACGAGGACCATTCTTAAATGGCTTTTATCTTGTACTGTGTCTCTTTTCTTTCGATAAATTTTGTTATTTGTGTTTTATTAATCATTACAGTATTAGCATTACTTCAACAAGGCCTTCCATACTTAACGTAAAAGTTGCACAAATTATACATTTGACAAAATTAATGAAGCCGTAGGCTACAAGGACCAAAGTGCAACTTCACTAAGACGAATGTTGTGTGTTTAATGCTTGTAACCAAAATGAATGTTGTGTTTGTTGCATGTACAGAGACAACGATTTTCTATGGGTAGGAAGATTCATACTTGGGGAGTAAGGGCAAGCCTCTCAAATTGATCAAAATAGTAGAGAAGAGGCCTGGATGATTTCTGTAGCACAAGTATGATTGGACCATCCAAGAGCCAGTATTGCCGCCACTCTCACACAACAAAACAATCAAGAAAAAAATTAAACAAGAAAGAAAACGCAGAGCATTAAATGGTTAAAGAGAGTGTTAAGCCGTTGCCTCATCTCTTTAGATGATGTTGTTCTGGAAAAGCATATCCTACGAAATATTTGCGTTTTCTCAATTGCATTTGCAAACACTTTTCTTCAAGTAGAAGGTTAGGCTTAAAATTTACTTGGGATTCAATTAGTCTTTAACCTCGTGACTTCCGGTACGTTACATGTTACGTAGAAGTACACTGATCAAGCATAAAACTCCATTTCGTTGGCAAATAAAATTAAAATATAATCAAAGCTATGTGGTGGGTTATTTATGATCACTTGGGACCATTAAATTTTCTAGGTTAATGGTTGAAGTGGACTCTGTCTCGTGTTGGGTGATTTTAGTTCCACTTAGCACTTGGTCTGATTTCCGATTGTTGAAGCTGGCTGGCACTCTTCTATTGTTCATATACCTCTCGAAGAGAGAGAATCTATCATCAGTAAAAACATCATTGGAAGGGAACCCAGGAAAAAACATCATGGGGAACCTCGAAAATACGCTTCATATCAGTTATCACACTGTCATAACATAAACACATTACATAAATATGTCCACCTGTGGGTAATTCGGCATGTGAAAGCAAAAGGGCATCCTTGCAATGCAAAGGGTCTAAACCTATATAATATAATATAATATAATCAGCGGTATATTAACATTTACGCCACATTTAACTAGATGTCGGTAGTAAATTAAGGCGGCAATACTTAGGAAGGGTTTTGACTTGACTTGTCATGTAGGTTAGAAGTGGGTCTCTCACTGGGTTTAGTAGAGTTGGAATGGGGTTTTCAGGCAGCAGCTATACAACATCTAATCCTATGGTACTTACCAATCTAAAGTCATCCATCCTAAAACATGAAACAAGGATGATATTCCATACTCAGATTTCCATCTTCTGGCAGCTGCGGAGGGAGTGGAGGACTCATTAGTTTTGATGTCTGCTTGATGGCATTCACGGAATTTGACATCTCACTCAGCTTCTGCTCCGTCATAGATTTCCAATTGAACAACTCCTGTAACATTTCCTGTCAGGAAGGAACTTTCAAATGAGGCTTTATCAAGTCATTACAGAAAGAAAAAAAAACAACATAAAACATAAGCAACACATGCATGTATTTATGCATATATCAAGCCTCTATTTGTCTGTTGTCAGCATATCACCTGAAACATAAACAAATTATCAAGCTCTGACTTTGAATTTGCAGTAGCAGAAGAATCAGGGGTCACATTAGCTTGATATTCTTTTTGTTTCCTTGGTATCAGCTCATGCACATCTCTGTTTCTTGCAGCAGAATGAGAACACCTCTCAGATTAGTTGTAAGAAATTTTTATGATTTGACTTTTCGTTTAGTTTTCATTCGTTACCTCTCCATTTCAGTAATTTCTTCCTTTATTTGCTAAAAGGGTCTGGAAATGAGCTATCGCCATGCTTTGATCTAAGTGCCGGGGCTAGGTAGGGATCTTGGATTATAACTCCTTCCTCAGCATTAACCAGATTTGTGCTCTCAAACCAAGGCACAAGTTCATTTCCCTGAAAATTATCGAGGTTGGTGCTCTCTAGCCAATCTTCCCATCGCTCAGATGTTTCAGGGTTGGTGGCAGTGTATTGCTTTGGTACTTGCATATTACTCATGACATTAGTCATTTCAGCTACCTGTTGCTCAACTTTAGCTTTCCACATCATTAATTCCTCAAACTTGTCCTGTAGAAAAGAAAAAGAGATTTCATAGGAGCCAAACTGACACAATCAGAACACAACTAGATGTATTTTCCAAAACATGAAAGAACCAACAACTATGATTTCCATTAGATTTTTTTTTAATCTTCTAAAGTATCAGACTTTGAATCAGTGATGATAATATACTATTCATATACCTGCATACCCTTCCAAGAACCTAAAATCACTTTCAAGCTTTGCTCAGTCTGAGCTTTCCATTTCATCAAATCCTCAAGCATATTCTGCTGAACAAACACTTCAATTGAGGTTTTATTCGAGCAGCAGTCCAATATCAAATTACAATTGTAGCTACAACGTTGTTTTAACATTCAACTCAACCTGATTGGCTCGGTCTTTCTCTTGCTTCTTGGATAACAGCAGCTCCTGCATATCACTTTTAATACAAGAGAGAAATTATTTAGGGATACCTATTTCAGTTAGAAATTGGTCTATAAAGTTTCTATCTACCTCTTCATTTTATCCACTTCTGCCTTGAGTAGCTTCAATTCTCCAGCAGAAACAGAATCTTCTGAGGGGGCACCACATGGCATCAACTTAGATGGTGGAATCCAATAAGGATCATGCACCCCAGCTTCCTGACGAATGTTAACCAGATCAGCACTCTCCAACCAATACTCCATTGTTCCATTGGTGTTGAACCACCGCCGAAACCGCTCAGTCCCACCTGGTGCCACCTTACCATCAATGTGCTTCAGTAAGTGATCGAGCAGCCCGGTATCACCAATTCGCTTACGTGCTAACGATCTGAGTTCTAGCCTGGAAATTGGGTTTCCAAAAGTTGCACCTTCAGCCTTCAAAACTTCCATCATACTTTCCTCTGCCAGCTTATACCTGCACATGTATTTAATTTGTTGTGATATCAAAATGCCTTACCACCAGAGTCATCAACAAAAAAGTGATATAGATTTTACCTTTCAGCTGTCCATCTTTCAGTCACATTATTACGCTTCTTTGTCCTACCTTTAGAGCTACTAGTTGTCCATCTGCCCTTGCCTAGGCTGAGGCGCTTCCTCTTCTTGATTTCTGGTATTTCTAGAGGTTCAGCTTTCACAGCTACTTTAAATTCATCTGTTGAATTTTCTTCCTCAGTGATGCTGGAAGAAATTTGGGGTTTGTTTTCTTCATGCTGGCCAAGGAACTTAACTCGCCTACGACGAGTACCCCACTGTGCCATCTGGGTGTCTCTCAGCTGAATTGCAAGTAACAGAAGCACATGCAACGAGAATGAATGCTCCAGACCATTAAAAGTCTAATTAAATTACAAGTTAAGTTTCTGAAAAAAATAAGTGGATTAGTGGGATTCTAAAAATCTAAACATGAATCCAACTGGTGTTCAATCAGTGCTAGACAGCTTATTAGGCAAACCTTCATATAATAACTCTATTCTGAAACATTTTTGCTCTTATGGGAAAGATCAGGGACTCAACAGATTACTGTATTTAGGTCTGGTGCACAAGCATCAATTTAAAAAGAGCAATTTGCATCATGCTCTTGCCAAACCACTAGTTAGACAGTGATAATCAAAACAATTGACCAAGTGCATTTCATAAGGTCCCAAAACCGACTCATTTAAAAGCTTGACAAAGATTAAAACACATACAAAGAACCATAACGGAGTTGTTCTTGATATTTTTTTGTTTCTTAGTTTCTTAGTTGTAGATAGAGGAGGAAAAAGTGAAGAGAGATGATAGAAGCAAGAAAGACAGGAGAAGATTATAAACTAAAATTAAAACCAATAAACATTTTTTTTCTTTATGTGTCCTTATTACTTCTTTGTCTCTCTCTCATGGCTCATCTCCCCCTCCTTTCTCCCAAATCTCTCTCCTCTCTGTAATTAGGAGAGGAAAAACAGAAAACATAAAACAAAATGTATGAAAGGGAAAACTGAATTTCATTTTAAAGGCTTTTTGTTTTGTCTAGTCATACTGAATTATGAAAGTAACAACGTGTTTAGTAATATTATATATAACCAGGAAGCACAAGAAAATCAGAAAATGAAGCAGAAAACATAACAGCAACTATTACTAATGTTTTCAGTTGAATAATAACAGCTCTCCTATTGTACTTATTTCTTCTGGGCCCCGTTTCAGTAAACCATAGATGGGCAAATACAAATTTTATAGTGAGCAAGAAACAGAAGAAAATGTTTAAACGTTAGGCTGAGTTACACACGTAATGGAACCCCTTGGCTCAAAAGAGGCACATTAACAAGTTCCTCTTTGTTAATTCCTTCTGGGTTTCTTAGAAAACAACACTAACCCTTCGATTATCTTTTCCTTTTTCTACGTTCCCAAACAGAACATAGAAAATCATGCTAAAATTTAAACATTTCAGAAATTTCATGTTTTGGGCAAACCCTGAAACGCCATACATTTAGAGCAGACCCTAACAGAAGGACACGCAGACAACCCAAACAGAAATAAAAGAAAAACGGGTTTCAGGAAACCATTCGAGACAATGTGGCTAGCAATCGGACCCTAAATAAGACATTAACAAACAACCATACATGAAAACCCCAAATCTTCTTTTCGTTTTCATGGTGTCAAAGTAAATTCATTGAGAGAGAGAAAGAGAGAGGTTCAGTTTACCTCTAGGGTTTTGTTGGGGCAGAAATACAAAGAGATAGCAGCAATTTCAGCTGAAGCGAGTGTGAGGTCTAAGTGAAGGCGAAGGTGCCTCCTCAGTCCCCGAAAAGGAGTGCAAAACAAAAATAAGCAAAGGTCGCTTGCTTGTTCGTTCTGTCCCACTTTCTCCTAAAACCCTAACCGCCAAATTCCCTTCTACTCAAAAACCCACACTTGTATTAATTACCCTACATCTACCTACGCATGTATTTTTCCGCAAATGTTTTTCTTCTGCACATATTCCAATTATTTAAAAATAATGTTGTTGTATTTAGATCTAACAATATATTGTACATGACATGTTAACACGACACAAATTTGCGTGGAAAAGTAAGTATTCGAGTTGGGGCTTAATGGGTCGTGTTGAAAACAGGTGGACCCGTTAAGTTTGCACATAGCACTTAGAGCATGTGAATAAAAAAAGTAGTATGTATTATAGTGGGACATATCTCTGTGTTTTAAAAAAGAAAAAGATTAGATACATTAAAACTAAGTATTTTTTCAAATTACTAAACCCTTTCCCTTATGATTGGCTTCTAGCTTCAGGCTTCATCACATGAGTTTAAGTGCAACATCCTCTTTGTGGTGTGCACAAAGAATCATACAACAACATAAGAAAAGTAACAAATGGTAGCACAAATGGACAAAGAAACTACAATAAGTAATGACATACATATTTTTTTAAGACATAAAACTTGAAAGAAAGAAAGTAGGACACAAAACGTCCACTAAAAGTAACTCACAAATGTCTTCAACTAAAACAAATTATAATAAATAACTTAGCATACATTACGATAAATAATTATAAAGCATAATCCTACTTAGTCAATTATAAAAGCATAGTCTAAGTCTCTTAATAGCAAAGTCATTGTTTGTGTATAATCTGGATCACAAAAGCAGCTTTGAAAACAATATATGAAATGGTTGCAGCAAATTTGGAAGGGTCCCAAATAGGCAGCCAGTAAGAGATCCACCCCATTACAATGTGCAAATATATTATGCTTTCCCTTTATCAATATATGCAAATAACTGCTTGATTTCCTTTGCACCATCTACAATCCAAAAAACAAAAACAAAAACAATAACATTAAAAGTACAAACAATCATTGGAAAATTCTTGATCTTCTAGCATTTTGAGAAGCAAAATCTTCAATAACATCTTCAAAATCAAGCTTTTCCAACAGATTCTTTTCAATGCATAAGATTGCCAATCCATTCAACATTTCTTGTGACATAGTAGAATGCAAGTAGGATTTTATTAATTTTAATTTTGAAAAACTTCTTTCTACAGACGCCACACTCACTGGCGTAGTCAATATAATTCTATAAGCAAATGAGACATTTAGAAAGCAATTTACAAATTTTACATAATCAAGAATTTGAATGGTTGTCTTGGCCTCTAGTAGTAAATACAATCGTAAAACTTCCAATTCATAACACAAATCATCAGCATTAATATCATATTCATTACCATGTGTTAAAGCATCTTCAAGATTAACACAACATTCATGCAATATATGATAATTCATTGCAAATAACCTTTTAGGATTCAACAAAAAACCAAAAATACCTTCAAGTATTTCTAATTGTTCAAATATACTCCTCAAAAAAGAAATAGCAGCATCAACCACAACAAGAAAATAATTAACCCTAAAATATTCTTGAGCAGATTGAAAAGTCTCTTCATGATCATTTGTTGGAAATTTAATATTAACCAATATTAATTTTCCTATTTGAATGGAAATTAATAAAATCAATTGGGTTAAAGACATGACCCTTGGGTTAAAAACATCTTCACATGGGGGGGTGACAACTCTTCAAACCAAGGGATGCATTGTTTGGGGTGACAACTTTTCAGACCAAGGGATGCATTGTTTGCATTTTCAGATTGGGATACCTTTTGGAATGGGGTATTTCATCATCTATAAATAGAGCAATCCTCCTGCAGTTTTATTTAATTCAGTTTAATTCTCTACATACAGACTTTCATATATAGAGAACATTAGAGTTTTCATAAAGAGAGGTTCCTGCATAATTTGGGTTCAAAGTTCCTTGTGAATTGCAGTGCTTCTTTCACAAGGAGGGGAGTCGCTGTATCATGGGAGGCGAGCGCTAGTGAACCATAAGCACCAGTGTGGGGCGTAATTCGTCTTAAGGTCAGAGTGTCCAACACTTGCCTCGACTCAATTAAAGTTCTTCTAATTCAATTCTCCTTTTGTAAAAATATGTTTTTATGTGCAGTATTTATTTTGTTTATTTTATAGCAATTTAGCACTCACATTTCCAACATCATTTTCATCAAATTGTTTTCTCCTATGAAGTTGACGTTTTTTTAGGAAATAAAAGGTTAATTTCCATCTTAGATGCAATATTTTTTGTAGAAAGTAAGACATATGTGAACCCATTTTTCCTATAGTCTTCAAAATAAGAAACAAGCCCCTTCAAATTTTTTATTGCAGCATCAAGTTACATATCTCTAGTCCAGATTGCAATTTTCGGCTAACCAAGTCAATTTTGTTCAAAATGTTATGCCGTATAGTCATGCTCAACAAAAATTCAAAACTTTCAAGTTCATGTGTTACTGAAGATTCAGCTTCACTCTTTGTTTTGGTATCTTCACTAACTCTAGACAATTCAAACAAAGCTTCTATTATATCATCAGTTTGGGTCATTATGACTCTAATACTATTAATATGACTTTCCCATCTTGTTGTTGGCAATAGTTTAAGAGTTAATCCATAAATATGATCTTGAAAAAAATTCCATCTCTTTGTAGAACTAGCAAATAGAGTATACATGCCTTGCACAACTCCAAAAAATGACACAGCTTTAACACTTGAGTTTGCCATATCACAAAGTGTTAAATTAAGAGAATGACAAGCACATGACATATAAAATGCCCTATGATTTATTTCAAGAAGCCTCTTGTGCACACCACTGTTTTCCCCTTTATGTTAGATCTATTATCATAACATTGGCCCGTTACATTATTAATATCAAGTATAAGAGACTGTAATATAGCTTGTAACTTATTAAAGAGCCCAAATCTAGATGTATCATTCACTTTCAAGAACTCTAAAAAATACTCTTCTACCTTTATTGGAACATTTGACACATCTCCACATCGAATTATTAAAGTCGTTTGCTCATGATGACTTGCATCTGGAGTACAATCAAGTATTACAGAAAAATATTTTGCCTCTTTGATTTTTTCAATTATAACACTTCTAACTTTAGAGCCTAGCATACCAATCAACTCATTTTGAATTTTATGGCTAAGATAGTGATAAAAAAATCTCATTATTTTGAATACATCTAAATGCTCTTTCATTACCAAATCAAATTCTGCAATCAATAAAAGCAACCCCAAAAAGTTACCATTATTATCTTGGTAAATGTTCTCATTCTGTCCACGAAAAGCTAAACTTCTTTTAGCAAGACATCTCACAGCAGAAATTATTCTTACTAAAACTAGTTTCAATATTCTTTTCTCTTTTTTAATTTGCATTTTTATCTCTTTATCAATTGTTTCATTTTTTTTCAATCTAAT